CCCTGGATCTTCCGGCGCGACACGGACGCCACCCCCGCGCGGGTCGGGCGCGACCGCAGCGGCGGGCGGTGGGCGCCCTGAGGGGAGGCTCGGCCGGGACCGGGGCGGCGGGCCGGGACTTCGGGACGCCGCGGCCGTTCGCCGGGCCCTAGGTTTGCTCTGGGCTGGGCGGGGGTGGTGGGTATTTTTTAAAAACATTGAATATTGTTTTTGAGGAGAGACAGAAAAATTTGTGTATATATTAAAATTAATCTAATTAGCCATACAGAAAACTTGAATCATAACATTGTTATTCCAAATATGCCATTTGGGATTTATTTGCAATCAAAGACAGATTTTCTTTGCTGTTTAATGAGAAAACACTGTTTATTTTCTCCATCCGTGACGGTCTGATTCTGTATTTCTCAGCTCCTTACCAGACTCTTATTTTTTAGTACAAGATTCTTGTATTAGTCTGCCTAAGAGAATTTCACGTATTTTGAATATATATGTATATATTTGAAAGGCCCTGGATAAAAGTAGCGTTGATCGAGTCTTTACAAAAGTGAAAGCGAAATTTTAAAGGAGTCGTTTATACCCATTCACTTTCAGTTTAGAGCAGTAGGATTAATGAATTTCTGCTTTGGGGAGAAGGGGGAGCTGCGATGCTAAACATTGTATGGCACGCATGAACCTTTCAGTTACCCGATTAAAATCGAAAATTGATTTATTAAACCTTTTCCCCTTCTGATTTGATTTAAAGTGTGTATCCTCGCCAATTTTTTTGTCTGTAACTGAAGTTTTGTTAAGTTTCAAGACTGTGGTTCAATCTTTTTTTCAAACATTAGGTGGTGGGACATAGACCCTCCTAGCTATTTATTTGCTGGTGGGTGGAGTGTGGGCCACACACTAAGTTTAGGAAACCCTCTGAGACTTTGGTCAGGTAGTTACTTGGATGGAATGGCGGAGGGCTGTGCATTCAGCCTTCCAGATAGCGTGGCTTCAGTAAATGGCCCATGAAATAATTACCCTCCTCCTCGCCCTCCTCAAGTAATACTTTAGTCAGAGTTTCTGAACATTTATGAGTAGGGAGCTAACTTTGTGTAGTGGTCATGTAAGTTATTTGTGTTTGAAAAGCTAATGCACATAAGTACTAATGTTTTCTGTGTGAGAAGCAGTGCTTGAAAATCTGGGATTCTTTCATAGGTTACCTGGAGGCACACAGCTCCCTCTTTGATGTATTTATTACTTTATCCCTTACCCGCCCCCCAATCCTGATTACCCTCTTTCTTGTCCCCAAATTGATATAAAATAGATTTGAACTTTCAAAACACTTGCTTATGAATACACTTGTTATCAAACTTGATTTGAAAATCAGGTGAATTGAGTTTTGGGGTATGTGGAATACGGGCCCTGAATAGAAAAAAGAAAGTTACTTACTTATCTTGGTTATATTAACTGTTACATATTTTTTCACTCTCTGGTACTTGTCTTCATCCTTCAGGAGCTAATACCCTTTTCCTTTTCTTACTGCTTGTCTGATTTGGCTGCACTCCCCTGTCAGCTGTTTCATGTCTCTAGCAGCCTCACTCAGCCCTTTGAGTTGCTGTGCTAGTGAAGGATGAATAGATGGCTCCATCGCTGTGTGTGCTTCTTTGGGAGAGAATAGTTAGTACCCAGGACAGAGGGGCAGCAAGGGGTTTTGTGATGGGATGCGGGATCCAGTGGTCCAGTGCTGCAGGCAGCAGTCCCAGTGCTAGTTACAGTGCTGCCTAGTTGTGTGAGTGTGGCTGAGTCATTTTACAAACTTGGGCCTGTTTTCCCAGCTGTAAAATGATGATTCAACCATCATTGATTTGAATAGTATATGTAGATCTGCTTTTATCACAAAATGTCATGAAAAACTTTTCTAGTATTATAAATACTAAATTTTTAATTTTAAAAGTTCAGATATAGAGAATACTTATTATTGCTAGTTCATGGTTCAAGCTAGCTTTTCTTTATGTTTACTGACCAGGGTGATTGGTCTTTTGTGTTAAAATAGCCAGCATGCAAGAGAATTGATAAGTTCTGTGTTGAGTTGCATATAAAAGTTCACTACTTTAGGGATTTCTCTTTCTCTTACTTTATCTTTTCTCTTAGGTCGGAGAATAATAGCACGTTAAGAAATAGAAAAGAGTAATAAACTTTGGTACTTATTAGCAACTTTGAAATACATATTTTATGTGATATATATAATTGGATGTATAATATGTTTCAGTCTATATGAAATATGTATCTTTTAGAGAAGTCTGGAGCTGGATAAAACCCAATCTAAAAGTAATTTAGATTAAACTAGAGAAGTGGAAAGACAGCTCTGCTTACTCTACAAAATACATCAGTGTGTTAGGCGAGTTATAAAACTCTTTGAAATGTGGCATGGGGTATCATTGATGTACTGTTTTGTTTTCAAGGATGGCACAAAAGAAGTATCTCCAAGCAAAATTGACCCAGTTTTTAAGGGAAGACAGAATTCAACTTTGGAAACCTCCATATACAAATGAAAATAAAGAAGTTGGTTTGGCACTGAAGGTATTTTTCCTTTAAGACATTAATAACTAGCAGTGTTATAAGTCTCCTTGGAAAATAAGGAGAAGTCACCAGAAATTGCCAGGCACAACCATGTATACTTTTGGCATAACCTGAAACATTAGTGATAAGCAGGTTCTCACATTTTACTAGGAGTTGGCAAGCTTATTTTTGTTTAATAAGATTTTATTCACAAGAGAATGTTATCTGATCATTTTGGCATATACCATGTCTGATACCTTCACAGTGTTACATAAAATTATTAATCTGGGTGTTCCTGCTGGTGGAGAAGTACCAATGCCAGATGGTTAGTATGTTACATGTTCAAGGTTAGCGTCCTGGTCAGTTCTCAGCCCTCCTTGCTAGTGTGGTCTGCTGTGAAACAGTTGCTGCCCTCCCCCAGCTTTGTGTACACTACAGCTATCTCTTCATTTTTCCAAAAATATTTTCCTAGTAATTACATCTCAATTTTTTATGGTATCATCAGAAATGGCGTTATTTTACATAAGTGAAATTTCTAGAAATTGAAGTTTGCCTGCCTTTCTAAGCAGAGGAACATTACATTAATCATTTTTGATAGAAATCTATTATATTGGAATATCCTAGAATCTACTTCTCTGCTTTCTCAGTCTGAGTATACTGAGATAAAATGGTATAAAATTTATCAGGGACTAAGGATTGTCACGAGGGCATCAAATTGCCTCATGTTTTGACATAGTGATACACTTGGGAGGTGACAGCTGTATCAGCTGCAGAGTTTTCCTGTCTCTCCTGTTCCTGACAAGACTCACTTTTTGTTTTTGCAACCCACCTTGTGACCTTTCTTCTTAATTTGCTGGTTATAGTCTCTTGGCTCAGAAGGTAGGTGTGGGATAATAAAGCTATTTTTTGTCCCCAATTCCTGGCTCCTAAAACCCTTGGAACTTCCTGAGTGGCAAGTTGATAGAATCATCTTTTGTCCTAATGAGGCAGCTGTTGGAGATCGCTTCAGGATGGGGCTGGTTGCCTAAAAGACCAAACTTTGATTAGAAGCTTGGAACTTTCAGCCCTACCCTCCAATCTCTGGAAAGGGCAGAGGGCTGGAGATTGAGTTACTTACCAGTGGTCAGTGACTTAATCAGTCATGCCTACATAATGGAACCTCCATAAACACCCTTAAATGATGGCTATTGGGAGCTGCCAGATTGGCAGACACAGCCATGCACCAAAGTGGCACACCCTAGCTCCACACGGATAGAAGCTCCTGCCCTCTGGACCCTTCCAGACTTGGCCATACATACCTCTTTATCTAGGTGTTCACTTGTGTCCTTTATAGTGAACAATTAGAAGAGCATTTTTCTGAATTCTGTTGAGTTGTTCTAGCAAATTCCTGTACCTGAGGGGCGGGGGTTATAGGAGTCCTCAACTTTATAACCAAGTCAGACAGAAGTGTGAATAACTCAGGGACCTGATATCTGGTCCCTGAAATGTGCTAACTCCAGATCATTAGTAGCAGAATTGAATTGAGTTGTAGCACATCCAGTTGGTATCAGAATTGGTTGGTGTCAGGAGAGGGGATAAAAAAATCTTCACTAGGTAACTGTGTTTCCTAGAGAATTATAGAAAGTTTTTTCTAAGTATTTTATTGAAAACCTTTTTTGTTTTCTGGAAATAAAAATAATATGTACTTTTGGGTTTAAAAAATACTATATACTTAATGAAAAAATATAGACTTTTTAAAAATACATATTTTGTATTTTTGGTGTATTCTTTCAGTCTTTTCATGTGTGATTATTTTTTTAAAATATGTATTATAAATAGGTTCATATCGTTTTAAAAATAAAATACTCTGATCTGGTTTGTAACTTTATATATATCATGAACATCTCCTCTATTATAAATATTTACTTCCACCATCATCTAGCCTGACTTGTTCTCATGAGTTAGAAAAATTAGAATGTTTTCTCTGGGTTTTGTTTGTTTGTTTGTTTATTTTGCTACCACCCTGTAGGGGTGTTGAACAGTTCACTGTTCTTTAAAGTAATTTTGTATATACTGCGAAGTATATAAGTCATAGCCCACCTTTCTTTTCCCCCAGAGTAATCCCAGTTTTTTCACTTTCTCTGTTGGACCTCTTTTCCTGTCCTTTATAGTTTTTATTTTCTCCTGGATCCTCTTTAAACTCTACACCTCTCAAGATGTCAAGCCACAGTCTAGATTTCATGATGATATGGGTGATCACCACCCTATCAGAGTTTTTTGCCTTAGAGTCTTGCAAGCACTGGTCTGTATTTTGCTTTTTTTTTTTTTGGTACTATATTGCTGTTTTAAAATTTTTCTTCATAGGACCTTGCTAAGAAGTACTCTGACAAGCTAGAATGTTGTGAAAATGAAGTAGAAAAGATAATAGAAGAAATACGTTGCAAAGCAATCGAGCGTGGCACAGGAAATGAACACTATAAAACCACAGGAATTGCTACAATTGAAGTCTTTTTACCCTCACGATTAAAAAGAGTGAGTAACTTCCCCAAATTTACAGTTACTAGTGCTTAGTTAATTTAGTGATGTGATCAGATAAATTGTGGGTTCTTTTTGAAGTTACAATCCAAAGGTAAAATTCTTTTAAGTTATTTTACATGTTGAATATTTATGAACTTATAAGTTAATTTTATGGATTCTTAAACTGGAACATTTACAAAGTGGTCTGACCTCCAGACTTCACAGAGCTGTGCATTGCAGTCTTACCTTTTCTTGAATTTGAATGAATATTTAGCAGAAATGGGGAATAAAAGGTGATTTCAGGTTTCCCAAAACTGTGTGCAGTAGGACGTGTCACAAAGGAATTTGTCTTTTTCCCTATACTGGTGGAGGTCAGAGGGTGGTCAGCTGAGTGCCCAAGCAGGGCCACAGTGACCTGGGCCACCTTGTATCAGGGCCACGTCCTCGGTAGCTGAAGTCCAGAAATGTTACTGAGGCAGGCCACCCAGAGGGGGCTGGCCTCTTAGGACTGATCAATGTTAATTATTCTCAGAAGAAATTAAAATATGTGTGTCAGAGTTACCATGTGACCCAGCAGCTTTACTCCAGGAGAAATGAAAACTAGGTCTACACAAAAACTTGAATGTTTATAGCAGCCCCGAGGTGAAAACAACCCATACGTCTGTCAGCGGGTAAGTGGGCGGCACCCAGACAGTCAATATTATTCAGCCGTAAAAAGGAATGAAGTACTGATACTCCGCACTGTGATTGAACCTCAAAAACGTGAAAGAAATGAGACACAGAAGGCCACATAATATGGTTCCACTTAATATGAAATATCTAGAATAGGCGAATCCATAGAGAGCAAATAGATTCATGGTTGATTCATGGGCAGGGGTCAGGGAGGAGGGAGGGGGAATAGAAGGTGTGGATATGTTTGGTTGCAGGGGAGGTGGTGAAAACGTTCTGAGATTTGATTATGGTAATGGTTGTATGACACTGTAAATAACATTAGAAACCATTGACTCTTACATTTTAAACAGGTAACTTTAAGGTGTATAAATTCCATCTTTATAAAGCTGTTAAAAATTCCTAGAAAAATTAAGAGCTTTATGAGAAAAAGAAAAGCATGTATGTATCTATCTCAGAATGCCAGTTCATGAATTTAAAGGACCTTACATATACAGGACTCCTCTTTGCTAGTATCAAGTACCTGGGAAACCAGACCACCAGTCAGAAAGCTGATTGGTGAGTATGGCATCCGAGCAGATGATTTGCGTGGTCTCATGGTCCCTAGTGATCCCACATGTTTTTCTTAAGCGCAGCCACGGAGAAAGAAAGTTACCAAAATCGTGTCTTGCCACTCCTTCCTCAGTGGGTGCGGTGGGGGTGGTGAAGGGAATGTGTCTTGCTCACTGAGGGCCTTAGTGCGGGAGGTAGTGGGCTAGGGCCTCGTGGAGCAGAGGCCAGCTCCCTTGAGTAGACAGGTGACTAACCCGTCGGAGCAGCTGACTGCCCCCAAGAGGCTGACGCCCTTCCTGTGGTGCCGCACTGCTGCCCGCTGAGGACTCCCGGGTTACAGGGTCCGCACGTGTCAGGGTAGGTTCAGTAGCTTCTCCACTAGGCGGGCATCATTTCAGTCCTTATCCATTTCCATCGTCTGATATCAGCCATTCTGGTTTTATAGGCAGAATAACAGCTCCCAAAAGTGCCACGTTCAACTGGATTTTGTCTGTCTTATTTTAGGATAGGAAAAACTTGTTGGAGACCCGACTGCACATCACTGGCAGAGAACTGAGATCTAAGTAAGTATCTGTGTGCTCTGTGCCCCAGTGTTCTCGGTGCTTTTACGCCTGCTTATTTGATCCTCACTGGCTGTCCTATGAGAGGAGGGGCAGGTATGGTCATCGCCACTATATCGAAGGGAAAATTGCAGCTTTGAGGCTAAAGGGCTTCTTCAGGCTCACACTGGCCATTCAGGGCAGAGTGAGAACTCAAGCCTGCACCAGTCTTCTTCACTTCCTGGTATAACAGGAGATCAGGTGGGAACTCTGGATGCATGTACTTGATACATGTTTGAATTGATGAGTGAGTGCCATAAATGGGAGACAGCCTGATATAGGCCAAGTCATTCATTTTGAATTTTATTCCTTAGTGTGCTGATAGCTTACCGTGATGTTCAGTGAAGTATTTCAACCAATTTCAGGCTGTTGGCCTATCTGTAAAAAGAAAAAATACCTGCCTGTCACATACTAGTGACAATCTGACTTTTGAGACCTTGGTCAGTTATTTCATCTACTCGTATGTTTTTAAATGGTAAGTGTTTTGAGTACCTCCATGGCGAGCTAGTTGGTATTTCTTAAGCTGATTTTTCTCATTTTCTTCTTTGGTCTACATCAGGGCTGTTAGGGATGGATTCAGGAAGCATCATTCATTCAACACACAATGAGCAGAAGACTGTATGCCACACCCACCCCTATTATGGGCTCCTCCAGGGGGACCGCAGAAGGTATAGAGAATGGATTTTCTTCTGCCGTGCAGCTAGGCCCTGTTGAAATGGATACACAGCACCAGTGGTCTCCACTTCGTGAGGAATCAAGTAGTAAAACAGATAGTTTTCAAAAGGACATTGTCTCTGACACAGTTTCAAAATAACCATCTAGTAAGCTGGCTTTATCCGAAGTAATGTTTATGAGACACTAAACTGGAATACTGGGTGTTTCTGAGAGAAATGTGTAAAATAGCTATCGTGATTAAAATCCATTTAGTGGATAGTAAGTAACAAATATGTTTACCTACAGTTTTCTGGTTTATTTTTACAGAATAGCTGAAACTTTCGGATTTCAAGAAAATTATATCAAAATTGTCATAAATAAGAAACAACTTCAACTAGGTATGCTATGGCGAAGTATGCGGAATTGGCTGCCAGAGGCCGGGGAGGTCGCTCCTGACAGTTGATGGGAAGAGGCCAGGGGCACTGCTGACCATCACGCAGGGCACAGAACAGCCCCCGCAGTAGACATTCCCAGCCCACGATGTCAGTAGTGCTGCTGAGAAACCCCGGATTGATGAGCCTTATTCAATATTACAGTGGTTCTTGAGAGAGGTGGGAAGCCATTGATGCCGGGAAGCAGCACAGAATTATATTTGTGTTTCAGAGATCACTTTGGCTGCAGTAGGGGAATGGATTTGAAGGAGACATGAATGGACTTGGGAGACCAGGTAGCTAGGTAGCTGCTAGGTAGCTAGTTCAGGCCTGCTCTGTAGTCTGTTTGGTTTCTAGTAGGTTCCAGTGGCCTACAGAGAATCACGTTCACATCCCAGCCCGATGTGATGCAGCCTTCACAGTCTAGCCCAGTCTTCCTTTCCAGCATCACCTCTGGCCATTTCCTGTTACCTGTTTAGAAACCATAGATACCTTTTCACTGTTTGCCATCTCCTCTCTGTGTTAATTCTGTTTCTGATGTCCTTCATTGGGCAGAAGTCCTTGATTTTCTTGGTTTTTTGTTGTTGTTGTTGTTCCAACTTTATTTTATTTATTTTTTTAACATTTTTTATTGATTTATAATCATTTTACAATGTTGTGTCAAATTCCAGTGTAGAGCACAGTTTTTCAATTACACATGAACATATATATATTCATTGTCACATTCCTTTCTCTGTGAGCTACCATAAGATCTTGTATATATTTCCCTGTGCTATACAGTATAATCTTGTTTATCTATTCTACAATTTTGAAATCCCGTCTCTCTTCCCACCCCCCACCCCTTGGCAACCACAAGTCTGTGTTCTATGTCTATGAGTCTATTTCTGTTCTGTATTTATGCTTTGTTTGTTTGTTTGTTTTAGATTCCCCATATGAGTGATCTCATATGGTTTTTCTTTCTCTTTCTGGCTTACTTCACTTAGAATGACACTTT